CAGGCCGTCGGTTTCCTAAGAACTGATCTGCTTGACCCCCATACGTCGAATTCGACGGGAGAGGGTCAATCACATCATGTATATATATAATTTATTTTTACTACTAATATTTTCCATCAATAATATATACCCTGATACAAATCTTTGAAAGATGAAGTCTCAATGATAATGATAAAATTCTTTTTCTAAGACAAAATTAAGTCAAATATGTTTCGAAATTTATTCTTCCTAACATCCACATTGACTTTAAATGTTGATCAGTGAAGACTGAACAATACGCATGCATCAGTTTTGAATAGGTCTTCTCAACATGCTACTGGTCGATCACTTTAAATTGTAGTACAGATGGGATGTCCTCAATGCATCATAAATAAAATAAAATAAAAAAAATCTTATAAAGATCATCATTATTTCAAGAGAATTACATACCCCATATAGTCTACGGTAGGAGAAATTATCATGGTCGACCGGATTTCGATCGCAGGCCGTAGTTTATCAACTCCTGGCCGAGAATAATTTTGGTAGAAAATCAGTTAAAATCAAAATCACTGAAATAATTCCAGATAATAATATATTAGACATTTCTTTGTAACATATTCACTAAACTTTACTTAGTACGACTCAAGACGAAATGGGAGAAATAGAAGCTTGTGTTGCACCAGTCTTCTGAGTATGGTTACCTTAAAAATCAACGTTCGATATCCTAGCGTTTTACCTGTACACGAACACCGGCCACTGGCGCCGGTGGCACATATGCTATTATATAACCGACTAAGAATAGAACTATGAAGAAGATAAAACAAAGACTGATGAACTTTCATGCAATGTCAACGCTCTTATATGGTAGTGAATGCTACAAAATATCCTTACAGATGAAGAGAAAACTAAAGGCAGTATAAATGAGACTCTACTGAAGGATGCTGAGAATAACATGGCCAGAATGCATAAGCAATGTAGAAGTTTTAGGAAAAATGGAAACAAAGAGGACACTTATATTAAGATTCAGAAAGAGTCAACTGAAATTTTTTGGACACAGAAAGGAAGGTTTGGCGAATTTGACACTCACAGGACATATTAAAAGAAAAAAGGAACAAAGAAAGGTAGCAGTTCACTTATATAACGAGGCTGTCTGAATGAATATTGGAATGGCGGGTGGAAGACTTGGCAAAAAGAGAAACGTTCCTGAAAGTGTTACAAAGGTTGTGTTACAAAGGTTGTGGAGAGTCATGTTCGTCTAATTCCTGAGATGATATGTTACATAGAAGAAGAAGAAACAGGATTTTTAGATCAGTTGATAACGATTGTTTGCGTGGAAAGTGTAATTAGCGAGACGAGTTCAAGTTTCGGTCTCGTTTGTTCCGTTCAGTTAGCAAATCGACCATTCTCAACAGATTGCGACATCATCCCGCGGACTACACTACCACCCTTTTGAATCCCGATCTCATGAGATAAAATATGAATTAGTCCCTTTTTTCTTACTAATATCGGAGTAATTGTTAACTAGCAAAACCGTTAAACAAAATTTTGTTTTGTTTAAGGTGCTGCACAAAATCTTGTGGATGTCATATGTTTCTGAATTATCAATTGTTTGGCAAGAAGTAGACCAAACCAAGTAGTAAGTACCTGTTTCTGTTTTTTCCGTAACACTGCCACAATGAGGATTGAATCATCCAATTCAAGCAGAAAAAGAAAAGGAAAAAATAAAAAAAATAATCAAGCCCTGAAATGACGTCACGATCCTTACGTTATCAAAACTAAACAACAATCTTCTATTCACGCCACCAAAATTGCCAAACCCATTTTTTTCTAATATATTGCCCACGATGGAATAAACAACAACTGAATTGCGAGACTTGAAATTGTCCCTGACCTTTTGAATTTGAACAACGGATTGCACATTCAATAATCAAGCAATCGTTTTTTTTTTTAATTTTTTACATAACATGAGATTCAGAATTGTTTTCATTTTCGTTACTAAGCTTATTACGACACAAGGCCGAATGAGAAAAAAAAAGATTGTATTCGGTCAATCTTTCAAGGGGGAAATTATCATTTAAAGTAGAATTATTGTTCAGTCGTTGATTTGATTCTTGGAATTATAAGAAAATATTATCAAACCACAGCAACAGTTGCTCACTAGTTGATCAGGAAAATTACCTTCAATCTGTTAACTGAGGCAAAAATGGCTTGTCAATTTTAACGCTCCAAAACAAAACTACTTTCTTTTAATCAAGTAAGAGGACGTTTTGTTTGCCTTTCATCATCATTCCTGATATTAACCTCCTTCTCAGTCGAACGTTTTCAATTGATATGAAATAGAACGATTATATTGAATCAATTGCTAGCCCTACTTTTAGGAAAGTTGGTTCACTGTGTCGTTAAAGAATATTTTTTTCTCGCTAGTATCTATTTTACATCTTTACATTGATTGATTGAATCATTTTTTAAGGTTTATCAATATTAAAGTATCAGTATTAAAAAAAACGACATCTTTACACGTCAAGTATTTGTTCGTGTATGGAATACTGCTGCCACAACTAGTCGTGTGGTATGTATCTAGAGATTCTTGACAGAATCTAAAGAAGAATCTGCAATGTTATTGGTCTTGACATGGCAACTCGGCTTCAAACCACTTTCCCATCGTACTAACCTGGTTTCCCTATGCCTTTTCTGTAAGTATCTCCATGGTAAATGTTCTGATGAATTTTGCTACCCCGACTTCTCGAATATAGGCACAGAACTAGACTGGTCAAATTTTGAAGAGATTTAGTGAAAAAAAAAAAAGAGTGGTCATCACCCAACTTTGTTCTTAGCCGAATTATAGCATATTTCATGAGGAGATTGAAATTCTATCAGTTCCATTGCGATTGAAATTAAATAAAATTGCGTATCTTACAAAATGGAATAAATCTAGAATATTTGTTAAACAACTAGTTCTGCATAACGCTTCCTTTAAAGAGGATTTTAAGGGAAAAATGTCTAGAAAAAGTAGAAAAGGTTTTCGTGTGACGCGTTTCGTCCTAAAAGACTTCATTGGACTAAGTTTATCTTTACGTTAATGCAACTACACATGCGCATCAACGAAAAAGACAAAGAATTTTAAATTAAAAAAATAACTTTTGTTAATATGTGTTTTGGGCATAGACATTTAATTTTACATTATTAATGTAAACATCATTTAAAAACTGAGAATTTTACATTAAAAATAACTTTTTTTAATATGAGTTTTTGGCATATAATATATCAGATTTCATTTAGATTCTTTTTCTTTATGCTTCCATCATTTTTGTTATTAAATATCCCACATTGTGATAACAGAAGATCTGCCAATATGGTAAAACGTTGTAAGAATCTGGACGCAAATTTACAGTGGATGATCTAGCGGTTAAAGCACTTTCTATATATTTTCGTTTTAGTAAATTGTTTTCTCTTTTAATTAAAGTATCATTTATAGAGTAAGTAATGACAACAAATCATTGTTAATTAATAGCTTCCAAGCCTTTTTTTTTCATTAGCTGCTGGGCTACATAAGTGGATTAATTCATTTTTAATGAAGGACTAAGTACACAGAATCAATCAATCAATCGATTTATCTGAAAAGGACATCTTTACTTCAACGGATTTGACTTGTACAAGAATTCAGGAAAAATTGGGTTTGAATAATAAGCAAGGAACTTTTTTTTTCCCTTACTTTTAAAGTGTACATTCGAGTTACTTGACTGGTGAAATATATCGCGAGAAAATCCTTTCTCCTTGAAACGATTAACGCGATATGTCACGAAAAGAAAAAAGTCTTGATACAGGAACGGCGACGAGATATCTCGCGGGTAAATTTTTTGTTCTTGGAACAACGAACAATTTCTTGGTTGCTGAAATTGTTGAGGTGAGATCTTTTCTTTGCTTCTATAGCTGATACTTGGGAGAACTAACGAGATATCTCGCGAGAGATTTCTTTGTCGTGAAGCGGCTGAAGACATATCAAGTGAGAAACATTATTGTCTTACGTTGTTATCTCACTCTGGCAGATGATTGTTATATACCCAATTCTACGCTTTCATCTATAGACGTAATGAATTCTCTTTCGGCATTCTGAACCCACAAAACTATCACGGAGAGTTAAAAGCTTGTTTCTATATAAGCAACCGCTACGCAATTGATGGACATTTTGTTGCTTGTTACTGATTATGTTGATTGACAAGGTTAAGAAGGAAAAGTGGATGCAATTCGATCTAAGCAGAAATCCACTGAAATAAAACAAAAACGCTGTCAAAAGAAAAGCATTTTTGTTTCTTTTGCCTTTTTGTCTTTTTGCCTTTTTGTCTTTTTGCCTTTTTTGTCTTTTTGCCTTTTTTATCTTTTTTCTTTCTGCCTTTTTGTCTGTTTGCCTTTTTTCTATTCGTTTTTATCTTTTTTCTTTCTGCCTTTTTGTCTTTTTCCTTTTTGCCTCTTTTCTTTTTGCCTTTTTGTCTTTTCCCTTTTTCTGTCTGATTTTATTTATTAACCACTTCATTTTATTCCTTCTTGCCTGTAATTTACTTCTCAAACCTTCTCATCTATCTTTATTATTAACATCTGTTATTGTAACTATTTACACTATTTATATCCTTCAGACTGTTATTCTCATGTTTAATTGTCATATAAACGATGTTTCGGCCGTTGCACGCTCCGGATTACTTCAGGTGATATACGCTGGAATTTCGAAGAAAACCCTTCATTTAGTCCATTGGGGTAGATTGTTCCAATTCCACGTGCCATGCCTGCTTTGGATATATCAGTTTTAGTTATTTTCCTTTAGTAACTCAACTATCCAAGTTTGTTCCCCTTTTCTGTGGCCAGTTATTGAACTCACAACTCATTCAGTGAAGTCAGAGGATAAAAGCGTTGCTTGAAGTAACTGGACTTCATCCAAAGAATGTAAATATTTTATCTTTATTTATGTTATTATTTTGATTTAAAACTTCTTTTTTTGTTCCTTTCATGTTCTTTTAATTTCTTTTGTTATGGTTTTATTGTATCTTGATCTACTTTTACGGATTTTACTTGATTGCTGTCTTTTTATATTGTCACTCCCAATTTACTTCGTTTCATTTTCCTTCCTTTTTTTTTCATTACTTTTTTTCTTTGTACTCATTTTCTTCTTTCTTCACACATTTCTTTTTTTCTTCTTTCAAATTTTTCTTTCTGTTAATTTGCTTTCTTCACATATTTTCTTTCTATCTATTTTCTTATATTCTTTTTATTTTTTCTTTCTTTTATTTCTTCACCTGTTTCTTTTTCCTTCAACTATTTTTCTTTCTTTCTTTCTTTCTTTCTTTCTTTCTTTCTCCAGATCATTCATTCTTAGTTCAAGTCTTTCTTTGATTTCCTCTTATTCTTCTTGTCTTGTTTTTATTTTCTCTTTTCTTCAAATATTTCTTTTGTCTTTCTTCAACGTTTTCATTCTTATTTTAATTCTTTTATCATTTCTTTCTTTCATTCACTCTTTTTACTTTCTTTTTTCTTCTATATTTTATTCTTCCTAATCCTTTCTTCAAATCTATCTATCTATCTATCTATCTATTTATCATTTTTCTCTTTTATTAATTTTCTACTCTTTCTAAAATTTTCTTTCTTTTTTTTATTCTGGTTTCTTCTCTTCTACCATTTCCCCATCCTATACACTTTCTATTATCTCTTCCCCTCAATTTTTCTACTGTTGAATCTTTGACATTTTCGAGAATTCTCACCAAGTCAATACATACTGTCTAACGATTTCTGGATCAAATCGACCTCAGCACCATCCAACACGACTCGTTTCAACCAGCCTACTCCACCGACATCGTATCATGTAATAGAGTTTTTAGCATTGTTTGTTGTTTTACGTCTCAAAAAAAAAAAAAAAAAAAAAAAAAAGTAAATATGATGTGAATAGGCATTTGTTTTTAGAGGTTTCGCCTCCAATTACATGACAACTAATCTATTTATAACTTGGGACTGGCGGATAGAGTGAGCTGGTATGGGTCATCTCTTCGTGACATCTTCTGATACTGTTATCAATAAGCAATTTTTATGATAATAAAAATGTGGTGTCTGTTAAGGTTATAAGCCTCATTGTCAGGGGAGACAAATCAATCCTCGATAAGTTTAAAGAAGCAATGGAAAATACATAATAAAATAATGTAGTATATATGAAAAATAACAGAATCGTAAAAATATATGACATCAGATTTGGAACGAATTTAAGCGCTGGTATTCAGATTTTACATTCCAGGTTTTAAAGTAAGGGCACATTAGGAGTGAATAACTCTTATTGGCTAGCTTGAGTGGATTTATCACCGAAATGTGTGTGTACGTTCAACTATTACGTAATACTGCGATATCAAATAAATACCGTTTAATTATTATTTATATCTACCCGCTTATTCTTGCGCAACTTAGCGAGTTTTGTTTAATAGAGAAAATTAATTTGCATATTTAGATTTAAAAACTAACTTTTAATAATAACGGTGTTTTTTTTATAATTCAGTTTTCTTTGATTTTCATAAATAAGTGACTTCTATAATTAAATTGTTTAATTATTCAGATAAAGCCATTTTCTGTCCTGGAAATGGTAGCGTCCTTAGTATTTAGATCACAGCTTGGGATTATAGAGAAGAAAGCAGTGTATAAATGGCAGCAACGATATAACAAATGTAAATTTTTCATTTCTCAAATAAGTATTTTTTTTACGTTTTGCTGATAAAATTTACATCTTTTTTATTTGTTTAACAAATTTTTTTTTTTTCATTGAATTTGTTTAAACAAAATATCGTTTTATTTTATTATAAAAACGACTGAGATGTTTTTTTGTGAACAGCAACAACAACAACGACAAAAATAACCTGAATAGAAAAATTGAATTTTATAGGCATTATTTAATAAAAGCAATAATATTCGATTTTTGCGCGGACCTGATCTTTTTTCGGATTGTGCTATGCCAGGGGTCGGAAACCCCTGACCCCCGGGCCACATTCTGATTTTTGTTCGGCCTGCCAACTTAACACCTGGACACTAGTTATCTCATTCATTTATAGAGTAAGTGGTAGAAAAATATCAGTTGGAGTTAATCGACTTACAATGCGACGAATTTTTAAAATCTAATTCCGAATCCACTGTAGACTACTACAAGAAATATGTTTTACCAAGCGGAAAATATAACAGACTATAGAATCATATGCTTCTGAACAACTGTTTTTCGAAAATGAAATATGCTATAATTCGGCTAAGAACAAAGTTGGGTGATGACCACCTAGAAGATATTTTCCTCTCTCTCTCATCGACAGATATTTCACCTGATGTGGAGAAGTTATCGAACAATAAGCAGAAACAAGTGTCTCGTTAAATAATTCGTCATTTTTGACTGTATTTCGTTTGTAGCAAAGATTTTACATTTTTTTTTGTTTATGTTATTTGTTATCCTGTTTTCCCTGCAGTAAAATAATGAACCTTGTTTAAATAATGTATCATTAACTCCGTCGTTTTTTTCTTTAAACCGCCAGACCAAGGCAGCCTTCTGGACGGAGCGGTCTGAGGTCGAGAGAATTTATTATAGTACATTTAATATAGATTTCTGGCCCGCTCTCTCCAAAAGGTTGCCGAACCCTGGATGCAGTTATTTCTTTGAAAGTTTTACCTACGTGTTTGAGATGAAGAAAAAGATGGATTCCATCCATTTCGAGAGGTTTTCATTGACATTAAGTCTAAAACATCAACTCTTTAAAACGTACGTGCGGCCAATTTTACTGTATGGACCCGAGGCGTGGGCCCTAAAAACCAAAACCAAACGGACACCCCAAGGCGGAGAAATATGGTTCTACTATGTTGAAAGTTCATTGGACGGCGCACGAAACGAACGATTCAGTTCTTTAGCGAGTTCAGCAAAAATGCACTCAGCTTCAAACCAGTGAGCGTCAACAGAGAAAATTCTTTAGCTACATCATTCAAAAACTACAGGGTGCCCAGTAAAAAAAAAAAAAAAACGGCAAAAAAGAAGAAAATTATCACTTATTTATCTTTCAGAGATAATTGACCTTGAATAATCTCGAATAAATTTCTTGAATATTCATGACCTTGAATAATCATTCGACTGTAGCGTAATTACTTAACTTTGATTGGTTCTTTTATGATTCATTAATTGCTACTTGATCTTGTGACACATCATTTAAAGGTTATTTGCTGACAACTTTCATCTTTCGTTCTGCCCTTCTCGTATGGCTCAACAACTCAATGATTTCGAGCGTCAAGTTATCGTACTTTTCAAAGAAGAACATCCGACATTGAGATTGACGAAATGAAAGCACATGACACGCTCTCAGAGTAAATATAGAGTAAGTCTGCGGAAAGACTAAAGACAATCAGTACGCATAGCGTCCGGTAATCATAAAGATATTTTAATGGTTTTGTTTCATTTGAATTTAATACTTATTATCATAGTTTTTGAATATTTACATTAACATAAATGATTAAAAAATTGCAAACAGAAATTATTATTGTTCAACGCTATAAACATTATCGAGTCTGTTTAATTTTGTTTTGAAAGTTATGCCTGTAGGTTGAAAAGTAATAACATTCGAAAAATTTAGATGATATTTATCTTTTTACTATACTCCAACTCCATGTTCCGCCATCCGTTTACAAAAGATCGTTAGGTAGGTTAATCGGTTCAATTTGCCCTGTGAGTGTCAAATTCTCCCAGCACTATTTCTCAGAAATTCCAACTGTCGCTTTCTGATTGTAAGTATAAGTGCCCACGCCCTATAAGTCTCCCTATAGAATCAAGTATAAACAATCTATGGGATTTTTTAAAGACAATCCACCCCAAGCAACGCGGGAGTGCCACTAGCACGTAAGGGGATACAGAGGATTGAGAACAAGAGTAAAGAGGCGTGATTGAGGAAAGGATACAGAGAAGGTCGGGGAACAAACCCAGGGTGTCAGATGTCGATTGACATTACATTTGAATATTTGAAGATTATAGTCATCGGAGAAGTAAGTAAGGGGAAGGGAGTTCCACAGACGGGAAGTGCGGAAGAAGCTGTTTGAGAAGAAGAGAAGGTTATAAGTAAAAATCAAATTGGTCACATGCTCAGTTCACTGTAGTCTCTGCATCATTGCCTTGTACTCTCTTCATATGTGAGGAAATTGTCCACCGTACCCTACCATATAGTTCATAACTCTTTTTTTTGCTTCCAAATTTTTCTGTATCTTAATACTTTGTTTAGTTTTTGGAAGACATCTTTCACTATTTATGATTATAAATTAAAATAAATAATCGGCAAATTCTGTCTGTCAGTTTGTGTGTGTGTGAAATCCCTCTAACTTGGGCCACACTTGCTCTACATAGATATATACTTTTTTTGGAATCGGGATGATCCCAGGATTAAAAGTCTGCCCTTCATCTGGTGCTTGAACGACCAGAATTGGGATTTGTGTCCGGATGAGCAGAGGACAGTTAAAAATTCAAATTTAAAATAACTGAACAAGATTAGTGATTGTAAATGTTTTTAATTTATATTGAATTTTAAGTAACACAAACACTTTGTAAATTTAAAACATTTGGTTTTAAGTTCAGTTTAAAATATCTCCAAAACTTTGTGAATTGAGGAAATCACTTTTATTTCTTCAAAATGCCAAGGAATCAGAATTAAAGTGAGAGGTTTCGTGACGTGAGATTTTGAAGTTCTGTAGAGTTTGTGATTTGAAGAACTCAATTTTCGGTCTGAATTGGAATTTCGGCTCAAATCGGTCTTTCGGACCAAAGAGTTTCTTTGGCTCGAATCGGACTTATAGTTAAACTGAGGTTTTTTAGTTCCATGGAGTGAAGTGAGGAATTCAAAGTTATTTCCTCAAAATTACCATTGCTTTTTTTCTAAGCTGGACCAGAGATCCCTTTAGTTTTACGTTGGAGACCCAATTAACCATACACAAGAGCTATCTTAAAAGTCCGCATGGAGTGCGGCTTTTAAGTTAGTTTAAAATAAAAATAAAAAGAATAGTGATTGAACCAAGTCTCTTAGCCATGTTTGACACAGAGTGCGATGCATAAATTGTCGCCTAATTCACACAAAAATAAAAATAACACTGACATCTCATTTTAACAGATATATTTACGAAGATTAGACACAAAAATATCTTGAAATACTAAAGAATAAATTTATTCAATAAAATCGCCATTGGCTTCAACCACGGCCTCCAGACGACTTCGGAATCTCCTGCATCGTTTCTGGACGGTCTCCTTGTTTAACTTGGTGAATGCTTCCATAATCCTTGCTTTCAGTTCATCTTTGGTGTTACAAGAAGTATTGGTGGTCTCTCGCTCAACTGCCCACCAAAAATAATAATCAACGGGTTGCACTCTGGGGAGTTAGGTACCCAGATGTAAGGGGTAATGTGGACGCAGAAATTGTCTGAAAGCCATGACTGTGTTCTCCTGCTTGTGTGGCATGGTTCAGTGTCACGTTGCCAGACATCGGATCTTCCAGCAGCTACCCCTTTAACCCATGGC